CATAATAGATCATCATATGCTTCAACAATTTAATATTCACCAATGATCATACATGGAATCTTTTAATTCATAGAAAATATTGAACGCATATAGTTCTTAAGATGACAATCAATATGTATTTTTGAAGATGACCAAAAAGCATTATAGTCATCATTTTATAGAGTGCCTGTAATTTTAGGGACTTAATTGTGTGTGGTTCCATAAACAAATAAAACATTTGGATCATAAGTGTCCTCACATTTATGGCAAATATGGTGGGCCAATTGATAATATATATACTGCATGTTGCATCAAAAATAAATAAAATAAATAAAACAGTAATGCAACTTAATTCATCCCAATAATAATATATACACAAATAATATCATTACCGGATTATAATTTCTTACTGCATGATTACAAACCAATTATTCATTTCCAGATTGTTGTTTTGCAAATAGTATAACAAATGTTAAAACACAAATTAAAGTTTAACTATATTGCAAACAAGTTAATCATGCCATTGATATTTGTGTGCATTATTTGTAGAGGGGTCATAAGTTAACATCGATTCCTTTCTTATTGAGAAGCTAGATAAATCCCACTCATCAAGAAAAATGTCTTTGCTATTTGCTAGAAAAAGAATATAATGAACTTACAACCAACCACAAGGTATAAACAGCTAAATCAATTGACAAAATATATGTTATCTTCTGATTCATTGTGTGTTTATCTATTTTCATTAAAATATATTAAAAAACTCAAATCCCTCCAATTAGTGGTTAAAGATACAGATTTATGGAAACACCATCAGTGTCTTTGAATTCCAACCACAAGCTTTGTCATTTATCAATTCTTGAAGGAAGTTAGAAATAATAAATAAATAAAAACATAAGGCAAATAAATAAAGATCGTTTCTGGACTAGGAGCCGCAAGAAGCATTTACCAGAAATCAAGAAGTACGGCCTCGTATAATTATCGACTAAATAGGTGGTTTCTTTTATAACATTCAATTTCAGTTTAATAAATCTTAGGGTCGTTCTACGTCAATTTCAGTGCTAGAGAATAATCAACAATCAAACAAAAAAGATTGAAATTTAGGGTAAAAATCAAACCGCTCTATACCACGTGTAAATTAATAGGCATAATCCAAGATCAATTTGTGCATAAACATAAAGAGCCCTAATTTAATTGGAGAACACTTGGAGTAGATTATGATTCTTTCACTTCCCATATTGGTGTTAACTGATGGATTCCGATGGATGAATTACACACATGATTATGGTGTTTTATATGGAGGTCTTAGAGCATCAAAGAGAACAACGATACGTCTCTCTAAAAACCTACGCCCCCTCATATGTGTGCTTTTAATTATTCAATTTACACCTTAGGGGAAACTTGTAAAACCATACTAATTTGGTCCCTTAAATTATGGATATATGTCATATCCGTCATACTACAAATAATAAATCTTAGGGACCTGATATGTCATATGAAAAATATTATGGTACACAATATAAATGTACCCAACACAAAAAAAATACAAAAGTTTGATGGCCATATTAAACAGGTTAATTTCCAACACGAAATTAATGTCAAGATGCATGTGAGAGACATACAATTATTTTCATGTTTTCTACCAAAGTTTTCTACAAATGTATTGGTATTATTATTATATTATTTGCATATTTATGATGTTCCTTTTTTGCATTGTCCATTTTTTTGATTCATCTAGAATATATGAATTGTAATGGAGATGTAACATGATGACATATTTTCATAATATTATTTGTTATCTTTTTTTATTTTAGAATGGTTGGATTTAATATATTGAGTGACGATGAGTGTTAGAAACGTATAAAGAAAATAGTCAAGGCAAGAAAGAGGCAGACCCCACAACATTCATGGAGTTCTTTTGGATCTAGCGAACTTTGAATATTTATATATATGAACTATTCACAATATTATTGAGTGACATGAACGTCTTACGTAAATTTATGCTACTTTTTGTGTAAGTTATAAGACTTCCACTCACTTGTAACTTAATTACATATTTGTATTTTTATTCTTAATAATTATACTAGTATGTTTTATTTATATGAAAGTGTTTGACATTATTATGCAAAAACTTTACAGAATGAATAAATTCATGTTGGTTTTTTAACTTATATCTTATAATATGTAAGTACTCAAACTAATAAAGTATAAATTGTGAATATTGGATAATTCAATAGGTTTAACGATTTTTACTAATGACTTTTTTATTTATTAATGTATTAAATTAATTACCATAAATATCATGCATATTATTTTATTTTTTTTATATAAGTTTAAAATATATGTTATCTTATAAGAATTCAAGTAATACCGTTTAAAAATGTTAATAATTTTTACAATACTATTTGACAATGTTTATTTCATGGTTAATAACAACTAGGTGGGGACCCCCGCGTTGCGGGGGGTCGGATGCGACAATTTTTTCCGTTGTTTGTTCTTTGTAAATGTCATTTGCTGAACTTTTTGTTTATAGTTTGAGTATTGTTATGGGGCAAGTCAATTTAAAAGACATACACTGTCCCATTTTACTGTTATGGACCCTTTTAAAATTGTATCTTTATATAAGTTCATAAGAATCATTTATATAAGTTCATAAGAATCATACAGCTTGCCTAATTGCACCTAGTCCAAATACGACCACTGTAGTTCCAGGTTTCACATTTGCAGCTTTCCAGGCAACAGCTACCCCTCAAAAAAAAAGTATTTTCATAAACTCGATTTCCCACATGCATGATCTATAAATGTTCATTCAATTTATTACCAATCAATATATTAAACATAGTAAAAGGAACATAAAAATTAACAAAAGTTACCTGGTGATACTACAAATCAACGAAAAATGGCGGTGACAAATTCACCTAAAAAAAGCTTCATTCTTGACATGTAGATTCATGTAGGTATTCTAGCGAACAACTGCTAAACATAGCATACGTCCGGTATAGAAGTTACCTTAAAGAATGGTGAAGTTGTGAAATCGGAGATTAGTATCCATGGTTCTTCTTTCCTAAATGAGAATGCACTCGGGGCATGTCACTCGTAAAAAGGGAAAAAAAATACATATAAATTGAAAGTATGTTGCCATTTGGGTCATTTTACTCGTAAAAATGGAAAATGCATGTAATAGCAATGTAGTTTGGTTTTTGGAAAAAAAATAAAAGAAATTACAAAAAAAAAACCGAAAAAAATGTGTAAATTCAAAGCTCGTTGCTAGTTATTGCATTTAGCACCTAAAGATGGAAAAACAAAAAATGACTATGTACTTTGTTTTTTGGTAAAGGAATAAAAACAAAATGCAAACTATATCGCTATTTACTCAATTTACTACTTAAATATATTCAACATCAATCTGAGTTCAAAACCGCTGAAATCAAAAAAAGATTAACTATAAAAACGATATGCAAGAGTTGTGTCATCCAAAATTGTTAAATTCAAATTTTTTTTAAGTATAAAAACATAGTTGTTTCCACCGAAACGCCCTTGGTCTCTTTGATAATGATTTTCGTTGACTGAGATACCAATCTTGAACTCAATCCAACATTCAGTGCATATGCAACATCAAATTAAATCCCAACAGCACCAAGTAAAACCAATAGAAAAGATAAAAACAGAATTCCCAGAATACCTTTTAATCAAGAACACATAAATGAATTTTTCTGGCCAAAATACTAAAAAAAACATATTTGGAAATCACTTATCTGTAGATATTCGCAAAAATTATGAGAAATTTTTTAAAAAGATCAAGGGTTTAGCACCTAAAGAAAGATATAAGCATTTGTGTATTTGTTTATAGAAATGTACCTATCAAGGTTTTAAAAAGGGGAAAAGTAATATTTTATTTTTCAACACACCTTTTATGTAAAACAATGGATAAAACTATTCCAATATAGTGATTTCACCACTGGATGCAATGCTAAAAAGAGTCAAAATCTATGTACCATTATTGACCAAGGGCATTTTCGTCACTACAGCAAATTCCAATTAAAGAGTTGACCTGAAACAGACATTCTTCATTATGGAGTTTATTTTTAATCTAAATGTTAAGAAAATTAATAAAAAAATACAACCTGAAAAACAAAGAAAAAAATAAGGTAATAAAATTAATACATTAACATCCGTAAACAATAATGGAATGAGTTAAATAATAAAAATTGAATTTTTTTTCATAACGTAAATAATTTTTTTAATATATAAGGAGGGTGTTTTTGCCTTTTAATAATAAATGATGAATGGAATTAAAAGTCCTTCTACCCATTTAAAAGAATGGTGTGAGAAATCCAAAAGAAACACAACATGCCCATAATGGAATATTGAATTCCAATTTCAAAGGATTCCATCGGAATCGGAATCCACCAACAAAACACAATCTCAGATAAATGATATGATGATTTTACCTGACTTTTCTTTGTTGGAATTGTGGTGTTTCTACCAAGTATCTCAATAGGAAGAGAAAGAAGAGTCACATCAAGAAGAAACAACTCTTTAAAATCAGCACAAAGAATTCCACATTCAATTGCTGCAATTAAGTATCCACTTTCAATTAATAATGAAAAAAACATCAAGTTTTGAGTTATAAAACTGCAGAACCTGAAATGTTTGTTTAGCTGCTAATACAGGTAAAGTCACCTTTCATAGGCTTTGAATTTTCGGTTTGATTACTGCACAACCCAACCAATAACAAATTAGATTAATTACCAGCTATAGAAATCATTTCCTCCTACTAATACTAAAATAAGAAATTTAATGTAATGGGATTGAGAGCATTTAGATTACAGATGTTCTTTGTTGATTCAAGCCACCATTTGCGTCGATATATATGTATCCATTGGACTCTGGTAAGCCTATAACAAAGGTTAAAAGGATCTTATAAAAATAGAAAACAAACAATTTGATGGCAGGAACTTTTTCATAAAAGAAACATGTAAATTCAATGACAACAATATGAAGATTGAATGTGACAATTGACAAACCTGTTCTATAAGCAAAACAAAACTCTTGACAGTTTTCATATCTCCTGAAGATTTGTTAAATACATACCACAACTTGAGCTGCCAAAGTGAAATTCTATCTGAGGCAGTTTATCAAACATCTGATGTGCATGCCAGTTGAAATGGAAAGAAAACAAATACAATAAATGAGTAATTATGAAAAGACGAAGAGAAGAGAGAAAGCTGGAAATTAATGTCCTACCACACCATGGATGAGAATTAAGAGTCGACTATGTCGCTACTTTTCCTTCTCCCAACGTCCGTTCCCAGTCTGCATTTCACAATTTAGAAAAAACCCATGGAAAGATTTGGATAATATTAGAAAAGTGATAGATAATTTCATACCTGTTGCTGGATCATTTCGATTTTTATCTGGATGAACCTGACGTGCCTGCAATCATACAGAATTCCACGGACACCTCCACCTCCGCCGCCGCCGCCCATCCTGTGTCGCACTTCGGAAGCCGGTGTAGAAACGGAAGAAGGGTGAGGCGATGGAGACAGAGAGTTTTCGAAAAGCTGTGAAATGGGAATATGACTGGATGAGAAAGCAGGTGGGGGGAAGATAAGGCAGAAATGATGGGGAAGGCGTGGGAATGACACGTATCAGCTCCATTCTTATCTTCTAGACTAAATTGTCAACACCACTAAAGTCGCCAAAAATCTGAACCCCTCAAAATATGAAAACCTATGGGCCATTTTTGCCGAAAGACCGGCATGAGTTGGTCATCTTTAAAATATATATATATATATATATATATATATATATATATATATATATAAAAAGAATGAATTAAATATTTTTAACGAATTTTTAAGCTATTTAATTTATTATGACAAATATCATTCATATTATTTTATTTATGTATATAAGCGCTAAACCTATGTTATATTATAAGAATTAAAGCAATATGGTTTAAGAGCACTAATTATTTTTTACAATAGTAATTGAAAGTGTTTATTTTATAGTTAGCGACATTGATTTAAATATTTTTAACAAAATATATGTGTTATTAGTTATCTATATAAATATATTTGTGCAATGCACGTGGATTCGTCTAGTGTGTGTGTGTGTATATATATATATATATATATATATATATATATATATATATATAGAGAGAGAGAGAGAGAGATAATGATAATGCAAATGGTTGGGGTGAATTGTTTTAGTCAGGACCAATTGATAACTCTGATGAAACCAAAGGTCTATCCGAAATGACCTGTTGGAAAACCAAAGGAAGATATGTCGCAGAACCATTGAATAGTGTCAATCCTTGTAATGATAAAGCTGGTCTGAGTGGAACGAAAAACGTCCCGAGTGAAACATCTTCCGAACAGACTGGCTTACTTGATAGAAAACCGAAGCGTAGAGCCAAAATTCATAAGTCAGCTGAGGAACATATTGCCAAGAAAAGACAACTAAATGCTAGATATCAGAAAAATCTAAAAGAAAGAAAGCGATTTTGGAAATGCAAAAATTCCAATTGAGTTAACCCAGAAAGCTTCGTACATCAAAATGCGAAATTCTCTCCAAATCCAAAACCTAATTCATCTTCAAAGCCACAGTCTTCAACTCCACAGGTTTCAAAACCAAACGTTTTTCCGAAACCATCATTTTCAAAACAAACGAAACCTTTGGAAAAGACTAAATCTTATTTTTCTCCTCAAACTAATTTTTCAAAAACTGTCAATACATAAAAAGATGTTAAGGGCAAGGGAAACCTTGTGTCGGAGCCGGAACTTTCCTTTAAGGATTACGAAACACACTTGAAAAAGGAGGAAAAGAAGATTGTGAAAAAGGCTGCCAAGCAACAAATAACATCTAAACAAACAAAAATTCCTTTTAAAAGAAATCCCAATGATGAAAGGATAATTGTTTTTAAAGTGATGAAAGGAGAGAATTCAACTTTGATAAAAAGGTATTACTTTGTTGATGAAGCAATAACTTTTCCTATTCCTAAGAAAATCTCACGAGGACCCAAACAACTTTGGGCTCCTAAATCTCTCTGATTTTTGTAAGTGATTTGTGACGATCAGTATGACTCTGAATGGTATATTGATAGTGGTTGCTCGCGTCACATGACTAGGAGGAGAGAAGAGCTGAGGGAATTCCGATCACTGAAGGACGGAGGGAAAGTATAGTACAGTAATAATGCTACGGGAAAAATCAAAGGATATGGGATGATTACGAATGGTGAATTCTCCATTTTGAAAGGTAGCATATGTGGAAGGCCTGCAACATAACCTGGTAAGCGTTTCTCAATTGGTTGTAGGTACAAGTACGAAGGTATCATTCGATGATGAAGGATCAAAATTAATAGAGAAAAAGTCCAAGACAGTGCTTCTAAAATCCAAAATAAAAGGCGAGATGTTCCCATTGAATCTGAATTCTATTAAGGGAAAGCCTTCCATTTGCCTCCTTACGAAAGCATCTTCGGATGACAGTTGGGTGTGGCACTGAAGGCTCTCGCATCTCAACTTCAAGGACATCAACAAACTCATACTTAGCGATCTTGTGCGAGGACTTCCTATTCTGAAGTTCGAGAAGGAACATATTTGTGTAGCATGCGAACTGGGAAAGCAAATTCAGAAGAGTCATTCAACTATCATCAACACCAAAGTGATCGAGCCACTTGAACTATTGCATATAGATCTTTGTGGTCCTTCCGCCATCGAGAGTATTGGTGGTAACAAATACATTCTAGTTATTGTTGATGACTTTTCCAGATTTACCTGGGTTTATTTTCTTAAACAGAAATCAAAAGCATCTTCCAAGCTTAAGGACTTTATCAAGCAGATGGAGCTTCAACTGCGAAAGCTAGTTCGGAACGTTCGCAGCGATAACGGTTCGGAATTCAAAAACCAAGTGTTTGAAGAGCTCCTGACAGAGAAAGGAGTTGCTCATAACTTCTATGCTCCTTACACTCCTCAGCAGAACGGAGTCGTTGAAAGAAGCAACCGGTCTCTTTGCGAAGCTGCAAGAACTATGCTCTCGTTTGCGAACCTTCCAGTATACTTCTGGGTTGAGGCTATCGGAACAGCATGCTATTATCAGAATCGATCACACATCAATAAAAGATTTTCAATCACTCCTTATTAAATCTTAAATAAATGAAAACCTAATGTCAATTTCTTTCATGTGTTTGGTTCTAGGTGTTTTATCTTCAATTCTAAAGAGCAACGGAACAAGTTCGATCTGAAAGCTGACGAAAGAATCTTTTTGGGGTATTCTCTTACTTCGAAGACATATAGGGTTCTGAACAAAAGGTCAAAAAGATATAAGAAACCTATTATGTCACGTTTGATGATAACTATATGAAGAAGTATTAGAAAGTTGATTGTCAATCTGAGGAGATTTTTCCAATGACAAATCCGATGATGATTTCTCTTTCCAATCTCTACGATAAATTCATGAATTTGTTTGATGATCTAGAAAAGGCGATTTCTTCGGAATCAAAAGCAGCAGATAACAAGGAAGATGAACTAAAGAAGATCATTGATGATGATGCTGCCAAAGACCTTGAAACTGAGCCTCAAATTCTGAACACCTCCGAAATTCCACCTTCACCACAAGCTATGAATGCACCTGTTCAGGGAGAGGTTACTACTTCAACCTCAACATACGATTCACCTGTTCAGGGGGAGAATGCAAACCCCAAAGTCAGCCTAAACACTCCAATCCATGGGGAGAACCCGATTCCGAATATGGAGCCAAATGCACTGTTCCAGGAGGAGAATGAAAGAGAAAATAACGAATCAGATGCTTAGTCGGAATTCGAAGATGTAAATGCCGACTTGGATCCATCCTATGATCCGAACTACCCTCCTTTGGCAAAGTGGACCAGAGATCATCCGAAATTTCAAGTGATTGGTTCAACTTCTTCCGATGTTCTCACTAGAGCTCAACAAAAGGCGAATCAGACTGCATTATTTTCCAAAATGGAATTTTGCATGTTTAATTCATTCACTTCCAAGATTGAGCAAAAAACTGTTAAGATTGCTCTCGATCATTCTGATTGGGTGCAAGCAATGCAAGATGAGCTCAATGAGTTTGAGCGCAATAAAGTTTAAAGGCTGATTCCAACTCCGAAGGATGCATCGGTTGTAGGTCTGAAATGGGTATTTCGTAATAAGCTTGACAAAGAAGGCAACGTAATCAGAAACAAGGCACGATTAGTTGTGAAGGGATACTGCCAAGAGGAAGGCATAGACTATGAAGAAACTTTCGCACCAGTAGCAAGGCTAGAATCAGTTCGCATTTCCCTTGCCTGCGCATTTAAAAAGAATTTCAAAGTATATCAAATGGACGTGAAGTGTGTGTTTCTTAATGACGAATTGGAAGAAACAGTCTATGTGAAGCAACCACCAGGTTCCGTCAATGAAAAGTATCCAAATCACTGCTATATTTTGGATAAAGCGGTTTATGGCTTAAAACAAGCACCTCGAGCATGGTATGAGACTTTAACTCATTTTTTAAAGCAATTTAAGTTTAAACAAGGATCGGTCGACCCAACCTTCTTTCGCAAGAAAGATGGTGACCGCCTTATGATCGTTCAAATTTATGTTGATGATATCATTTTCTGATCTACTAATCCTAGATTAACTGATGAATTCTGAAAATTGATGGAGACTAAATTTGAAATGAGCGCAATGGGTCCTATTAACTTTTTTCTTGGATTGAATATTAGACAGAGTTGAGAGGGCATATTCATAAATCAAGAAGCCTACAAAAAGACTCTGCTTGCGAAATTCATAATGGTGGGAGACTCAAAGGTCAAGATTCCAATGACATTCGAAACGAAGCTTACATCGTCCTTGGACAAGCCAGCAACTGATATGACTCTCTATCGACAAATGAAAGGTTGGTTGATGTATCTAACAGCGAGTCGTCCAGACATTATGTTTTCTGTTTGCTATTGTGCCAGGTTTCAGGAAAATCCTCGTGAACCCCACATGACTGCAGTAAAGAACATCTTCTGATACTTAAAAAGAACGACCTTTCTCGGAATTTGGTACCCTTCCAACTCAGGGTTCTTTGTGCAAGCATTCTCTGATGCTGATCTTGGCGGATGCGGTCTCGATAGAAAGAGTACAACTGGAGGATGTCAATTTCTCGATGGCAAACTCGTAAGTTGGCAATCAAAGAAGCAAACGTGCGTCTCTTTATCTATCGTTGAAGCTGAGTATATCGTAACTGCCTCTTGCACCTCGCAAGTGATCTGGATTCAAAGTCAGCTTAGAGATTATGGGATTAATATGAAGAGAATTCCCTTATACTGTGACTCCGAAAGTGCAATTCGCATTTGCCACAACCCAGTGCAACATTCCAAAACTAAGCATATAGCATTGAGGTATCATTTCATAAGGCTTAGGAATGATAGAAGCAGATTCTGTTCCGAAAACAGCATAGTAAAGCAAAGCAGTGGTCTTTCTCCGAACCGCTCCGAGCCCCCAGAATTCTTCACAATCTATATCTTCTGTTCCGAAGGGTTGCGAACTCTCGGAACGACTTGGAATCCACTGTTTATCTAAAGGTTCGGAAGTTTTTGTATCCTTTGTATATTAAATTTTTTGTCTCTCGATTGCTTCGGAGTTACTGTACATTTTTGTTTTTGACTTT